CAGCATCTAATCCCAGTACACCAACCTCTGAGCGTCACGGAGGAGCTCCCATTTCTGGCTGAAATTACTGGCCATGCCCTCAAAGATCATGCGCTGTCGAAGTGGAGATGGTTCATTCTATTAGTAGAGTCTCTTCTAAAACCAAAAGTTGGTATGGTCCCCAAACACATACATCCCCTCTGTTCACTCTACTCCCAAACTTGCCACCTCAAAGAAATAACCAGTGCAGGTGCTGGCTCTAAACACATGGCTGCATTGATCACTCTCTCAGTGCACAAGAGCAAGAAAGAGGGCTGATGCCTGTTGTCTCTGGAGCCGACAAGTGGGGCTCCATGTTCTCACCATGTAGAGCAGCAAATAGACAGCAGGACTCCATGTCATTTGGCCTCAGTTGCACCGGTGCCTCCATGTCCATCTCATGTCCATTTATTCCTCAGAAGCCTTGGCCACCTGCTGGGTTATCCCCTCTTCCCAACCCCACCAGGTACCCCAGCCAGACATGCACTTGCAACACCCACCCTCCCCTTCCTGATGGATGATTAGCATTACCCTTATGGCCGGATTCCCTCCTCGTAATGTTACAAAGGACTCCCCTGCTCCACACACTAGCCACCTCGGAACATCTACAGCAGCACCCAGGGAGGAGGCAAATGAAACCACCAAGCCTTGGGCTCCGCACAAAAGAGGGAAACTCATTTTACCTCAGGAGAATGTAGAAAAGCCTTCAGCACCAGGCACACACATGCTCCAAACCAGGACATTTGCACTGGAAGACAGTGTTTTATGTGACCTGAATGTGAGAAAGCATTCAGGTATCAGTCCTCATTAGTTGTTCACCACAGTGCTCACGCTCATGGAAGATATGTGTGTGGCGAATCTGGCAAGTCTTTTAAGCAGTATTCAACCTTCAATCAGCATCAAAGAATTCATTGTGGGTCAAGGCAGTACAAGTATGGCAAATGTAGGTAGCCCTTCAACCACACATATTTGTTCTCATTTATCCCTAGAAAAGGGAGACTGGAAAGAAATTGAACTTCTGCCAAAATGTGTTCAACCTCTGGCCATAGATCCTTCTTATTTGACAATGAACAGTTTACACGAGAAAGGCATCGTGAGTGCACAAAATGTGGGAAATCTTTTTGATGAAAATTTTACCTCAGTTTGCATGTGAGCATTCACATGGGAAAAAGGCCTCATGAATGCAGTGAGTGTGGGAAATATTTTGTCAAGAATTTAGTACTTATTCTGAATTTCCAAATACATAGAGGAGAGAGACCTTTTGAGAGCAGTAAGTGTGGAAAATTATTTACAATAGGTTCAATATTCATTCTACATCAGAGTACACACAGGAAAAAGGCCTTATGAGTGCATTGAATGTTGGCAATCCTTGGCCATGAGTTATACTTCACTCAACACCAGTTCATAGTGGAAGAAAATCTTATGAATGTAGTGAAAGTGGGAAATCTTTTAGCTCTTTCCCCAGCCTTCGTTATCACCTGAGAGTTCACACAGGAAAAAGGTCTTATTACTGCAGAATATGTGATAAGTCTTATAACCATGGGCCCCACCTCATTCAACATTGGGGAGTTCACATAGGAGAAAGGCCTTATCCATGATGTGAATATGGAAAATCTTTTGCATTTGGTTCCAACCTTAAGACTCATCACAGAGTATATTCAGAAGAAAGACCTTATCAATGCAGTGACTGTGGGAAATCCTTGTTCTGAAGGCATCACCTCCTTACACACCAGAGAGTTCACACGGGAGGAAGGCCTTATCAGTGTAATGAATGTGAGGACACTTTTGTTCTACTATCATTCCTCCTGTTAGTTTTTAATTATCTTATTTCTATGGAGTTGGTTTACAAACTAAGACAATAAAAGGTAAAACAGCTATACAATTTTGGAAGAATGGCAGACTTCTGCCTCAGAGCTTGTCCCCTCTAGAGTACCCCAAGAAGAACAACTCTGCCACGCTCTGCCAGGCCAGCCCTATCCTAGGCTGCACCTGAAGTTCTTCCCATCCATAATATTGTCCATTGGGAAATGCAGGCAGCAGCAGCAGCACGATCATTCAGGCATCCTCAAGGAAGGGAGAGCCAAGGGGAGAGCCAGAGAGCCAGAATTAGCACCTGAGAGCCCCAGAGCCCTTCCTTTATTTCAAATCTAGCCCATAATTCCATGCACTCTGGAGGCATTCAGCTTCTCAACCAATCCTGCCCTAGACTGTTTACCATTGCCTCAGGCAACCTCCTTCCACAGCCCCTCCCTCTTCCTTCCCAGCAATCTGGTCCGATCTCTGTATCAAAACAAGGAAGAGAGGGGTCCCTTCAAACTTCAGGGTTGATCAGATCCTGGCTCATCAGACCGTCACCGAGGTATCACCTGTGAACAGTCATGTGGGCAAGTGACTTCATGTCCAAAAGGCAGGTTTACCTTTTATCTCAGCACTGAAAGTGGTGTGCTTTTTTCTTTTTTTTTTTTTAAGATTTTTATGTACATATTTTCAAAGAGAGGGGAAGGGAGGGAGAAAGAGAGGGAGAGAAACATCTATGTGTGAGAGACACATTGATTGGTTGTCTCCTGTGTGCATTCTGCCTGGGGAGCATACCCACAACCTAGGTATGTGTGATGACCAGGAATCAAATCTGCAACCTTTTGGTGTATTTGGGGGTTTCGACTGGTGAAGTTCCCTAGAGCCACAGATGAAATAAGTCTACCAACACAAGATCTGCGTGGGGAGAAGAGGCTGGCCAATCTCTCAGAGGAGAAGGGCCTTGATCTCCTTTTTTCCTAGGCTTTTATTGAGTTCAGCATGTAAGGGAGCACACAGCATGCACGTATAGGTAGCTCATCAATCAGTGTCACATACTGTTGATAAAAGGAGAATAGATATTGTTCAGAAATTACAACTGCAAGAACACAGGGGTCTCCTTAAATCCGGGTCTGTTAGACAGCCTGACACTTGATGGTCAGAACATCCTTGTGCTTTGAACCTAAACATCCGGTGTACATTAACTCGATTAACTAGAAAACATTATTCTTTGCAGGACAGGTTTCAAAGGAATTAATGCATTCTTCTTCTTTGGGCCTCATTTCCCCAAGGGGCTGCCTGTGCCCCTTTCCTGCTGTTCATGCCTGCCAGCCAGCATTCCTGGGTTTCCCATTGGTACTTATAGATCAGACCCTGCTCACATGAGGCTGCAGTCCCAGATACCAGGCAGGGCGATTCCCCACAGGTGAACAAGACGACACTCCATCTAACTTAGCCAATGGCCAGGGATCGTTCTTTTTTTCTTTACTAACTTAAAACCTTCACAAACTTTTATAACCTTAACAACCTTCTGTAAACCTTTTACAACTTTCAAAAATCTTATCTATTCAGAAATAACCATTCTTAGAACAACTCATTTTTTTCTTTTTCCCTCAGAAGTTATTTCCATATATTATTTCTTCTATTATCAAAACCATACAATATCCTTTCAACTTAATTAGAATTTTTAATTTTTAAAAACCTCCATTTTCAATGACAACCAAAAGGTAAACAACTAGCAGTCTGATCATCCTGGAAGGATATTTTAAGAGAACTCCCTTATTTTGTATACAAGCTGTTAGGGTGGCAGGTGACCCAGGCTCTGAAAGAATGCACAAAGAGAAGAAACTGCAGGGAGCAAAGTTTTACTCATTTTCCAATAGTGGAAAGGGGCTAGGTGTGGAGAAATGCACTAGCACTGAGGGGAGGGAGCTTTGAGCTTTTATTGGATTATACAATGTGGCTATTGTTTTGCTGCTGGGTTGCTAAGTGTGTTGCAATTTAGGACATTTCCATTGGTTTTGGGTAAGCTGCATTTTGCTCCAGTGTTATTGTTTGCCTGCAGCTGTGGGGAGTGGTTAGTCACATTCTGTTCTTGCTTTCCAGTAACTCCCAGTCCTGGGGACATAAACTCAGAAAACTAAAATGACAGTTATGTTTAATAAGGTCACAGTCTTCCTCGGCACATGGCACCATGATAGCAAATGGCACCTGCTTTATCCTTTCCCAAAGTCCTGCTTATTCATCTAATTCGGAATACTTCTTTTCTTTCCTCCCAGCCACGGCTCTGTATGGAGTCATTTCTATAGTTCTTGGCCAATCATAATAAAACAAACTGCATATACCCATATCAGACTATACGCATTTGAAGGCAATAACAACGTGTGCTGTTATTCCTGAACCATATTATGTGTCAGTGACTCTATAGAAAGATATGCCTGTTTAGATCATGATATTTGAGAGCATCGCAAATATTTTTTAAAAATATTTTATTTATTTATTTATTTTTAGGGAGAAGGGAAGAGAGGGAGAAGAACATCAGTGACATTGAAGCCTCTCACACGCCCCCAACTGGGGACCTGGCCCACAAACCAGGCATGTGCCCTGACCAGGGGTTCAAACAGCAACCCTTAGGTTCACAGGCCAGCACTAGTCCACCGAGCCACTCCGCCAGCCAAGGTACATCTCAAATATTTTTATCGCCTAGCAGCAGGCCGACTTCATGCAACATAAATTATGCCTTTTGCTGCAGTTAACAATGAGGAAAGACCCTCTCAGGGAGTAGGAGCACCACTTGTGCAGGACCCGTCCCTTAGCAAACGTCCCAGGTGGCCAGGATGGAGAGCTCTTTCCTCGAGGTCGCTAGAGCCAGGGAACTACATTACCCAGAAGAGCGAGCGCCCCGGGAGCCAATGCAAGGCCCGCGTGTCTGCATTTCCGTTAGGTTTCTGCTTTTGGGGCGGGACCCCGAAGCCGCCCCTCCAGGCGGCCCCCGTTTCGGCTTCCCGGGGCCAGTCCGCCGAGAATTGAGGGAACCGAGGAAGCGCAAAGAAGCCCTTATCTCCGGTGCGCGGACGCGGTTTGCGTCTCGGCAACGCGGCCCGGGTGACCCCCGCCAGGGCCGAGACTGGAACCGCCGGTCCGGCGCCCCCTCGGCGGCACCCGCCGGGCTCCACACACGGAGCCCGATGGCGGCGGCGGCGACCGCGCTGAGGCGCCCGGCTGAGGTGAGCGCGCGTCCCCCGGGCCCCCGAGCCCCGCAGCCCCGGGGGCGGGGCGCCCGTCACGTCCTGCAGCCCCGGCCCCCGCGTCCGGGCCGGGAGGGAGGCTGAGCGGAGGCGCGAGGGTCGTGGCTTCGGAGGGGCAGCGAGTACAGGGCAGAGCGGCCCGGGCTCCCGCGCCTCTGAAACGTGCGTGGCGCCCTGGGTGCCCGATAATGGAGTGAAGGTGCGGGCGGGCCGGCGGGACTGCAGAGCCCCGCCGGGGGCTCCCCCGCGGCGGGAGCCGTCCGAGGGCGGCGTGGAGCCGGACGGCGTTGGAGGTCCGCGCGCTCTCGCCGGGGGCCGGGGGCCGCGCGCCCGGGTGAGCGGGGAGAGACGCCTGTGAAGCAGGGCAGGGCGGCCGCGGAGCCGTGGGGGTGGGACTGTGGGGCCCGCCGGTGTTCGGGGGAAGCGGGCGCACGGCGGCGCGCGCACGGGTAGGTGGTGGGGCCGATGGCCCCGAGGCCGTGGGGCGGGACCCGGTGAAGCGGGAGCGCCCCTTTGCCGAGTGTCGCAGGTGGAGCCTGGGCGCCCCCGGGGGACTTGCTGGGCAGGAGGGACGGGGCCCTGCAGGGACGTCCCCGGGCTTGGATGAGGTCTGCGCGTCCCGCTGCCCGGTGCCGAGGGCTGCTGCTCACCGTCCTCACGGCCCCGAGGGGTGAGGAGACCCCGCTGGGAGCAGGGCGTGGTGTCCCCTCTGATCGGGGAGCCCTGGGGGAGGGTGAGCAGGGGGACGATGTGTGAGGTGACGGACTGGGAGGTTGTCAGGAAGACCGAGTCTGTGGTTTCCTCTGTCCGCATCTTGACAGGCCAGCGTGACCTTTGAGGACGTCGCCGTGCACTTTTCCTGGGAGGAATGGAGGCTCCTTGATGGGGCTCAGAGACGCCTGTACCTCGACGTGATGCTGGAGAACTTCGCTCTGACTTCCTCTCTAGGTAGGACTCTCAGAGTCTATAAAATGGTGTATACAAGGTAGTTGAAGTGCAAAATGTGATTGTTCGATATGTGTGTATTTTTTAAATGATTCCCATAACCAAGTTAACGGACATTTCTGTCACCCTGATATAATTACCTTTTTTTGTAATAGCACTTAAGATACACTGTCCCAGCAACTTTTAAGTGTAAAGTACAGTACTTATTGTTGTCACTATGTTTACATTATATCCTCAAAATTTATTCATCTTATAGGAATGTTTGTGCCTTTTAATCATTAACTTTCCAATTTCTCCTCCCCTTGTCCTTCTCATTCTACTCAGTTTCTGTGAGTCTAACTTTTTTGTTTGTTTGTTTAGATTCCACAGCTAAGTGCTATCTTACAGTTACTATCTTGTGTCACTGGCTTATTGCATTTTGCATAATGCCCTCTGGGTTCACCTAAGTTGTCACACAGGGCAGTATTTTCTTTTATCTGTTGTTCTTTTGTCTATCTGTGGAGCGGTGGATCTCATTTTCTTTTTTCTAAAGCCGAATAATATTTCAAAGGGATTTGTATGTGTGTGTCACCTTTTATTATCCAGATATCCATGGCTAGACATTTATGTTGTTTCCATATTGTATATTGTGAACAGTGGCGAAGTGAACATGAGAATAGATGTCTCTTCCACATTCTGATTTTATTTCCTTTGGAGACATGCCAAGAAGTCAGATTTGCTGGCTCATACTGTAGAGTTTTTATTTTTATTTTTTGCCCATTTCAAGTTATTTTCATACTTTTTAAAAAAGATTTTATTTATTTTTTTGATAGAGGAGGCGGGAGGGAGGGAGAAAGAAAGAGAAACATGTTTGATCTTTTGCCTCTGGGGACCTGGCGTGCAACCTAGGCACATGCCCTGAAACTGAACCAGAGACCTTTCGGTGAGCAGGCCAGTGCTCAGTCCACTGAGCCACACAGCCAGGACTCCATATTGTTTTTCATAATGCATTTATGAGTTTATATTCCCACCAACAGTGTACAAGCATTCCCTTCTTTCTACACGTTTGCTAATACTTAACCTCTTGTCTTTGTGCTGATAGTCTTCATAACGTGTATGAGGTAACATCTCATGGTATGAGGTAAATCTCATTGGATTTACACTCCCCTACTGATTAGTGAGGAAGAGCAGTTTTTCATGAAAGCTTACCTGTTTGCCACTTAAGCAGATTCTTTGCTCATCTTTTATGTACATGTTCATCGTTCGATTCTTGTATGTGCCCTGACTGGGAATCAAAGCTGTAAATCTTGGCCTATGGGGAGGATGCTCAAATCAGCTGAGCTACCTGGCCAGGACTTGATTAGTATTTTTACCTTCCAGCTTGAAGAACTCCCTTTAGCATTTCTGGTAAGGGAACTTGAGCAGTTATGAACTCTCTTGGCTTTTTTTTTTTTTTTAAGATTTTCTTTCCAGAGAGAGGAGGAGGGAGAAAGAGAGGGAGAGGAACATCAGTGTTGAGAGAAATAATCAGTTGCCTCTCGCACACCCCCAACTGGGGACCTGGCTCAGCAACCAAGGCATGTGCCCTGACTGGAGTCAAACCGCCGACCCTTCGGTCGGCAGACCGGCACTCAATCCACTGAGCCACGCCAGCCAGGGCTCTCAGCTGTTTTTAATTTACGAAAGTCTTTATTCTGTTGGGTTGGCCCAAAAGTCCGTTACATTTTTTCCACATGATGGCTCTAGTGGTACTTACTGTCTTTAACTTCATTTAAAACAATTTTGTCAGATTGTATGGTGACAGCTGTCATCTCAGTGTGCATTTTAAAAAGACATCAGAGTCGGTGAATCTTGTGCAGCCCTTTTAGCATTGAAGATGGAAGAAAATACACAATATATTAAGTATATTATGCTTTTTGATTTCAAGAAAGGTAAAAATGCAATTGAAATGGAAAAAATATTTCTGTGGTATATGGAGAAGGTGCTGTGACTGACTGAATGTGTCAGAAGCGGTTTACAAAGTTTCTTGGTACTATTGACATTTTGGCCAAATAACTCTTTCGTGTGGAGCTGTCTTATGCATTAGAAGATATTTAGCAGCATCCCTGACCTCTACCCACTAGAAGCCAGCAGTGGGAAATAGACAACATACTCAAAATATCCAAGTCAGTAAAGTTACTGGTGAAAATGAAAATGCGCCTTTTATTTATTTGCTTGTTTATTTAAGATAAAACACAAGTCAAATTTATTAGAATTGTCCACAGCCAGTAATGGTGATCTTACTGGTCTTGCCATTCGTGGACCCATAGCGCTCCATGGCTGTCACAACATCCATTCCGCCGTTCACCTGGCTGAAGACCACATGCTTGCCATCCAGCCACTCAGTCTTGGCAGTGCAGATGAAAAACTGGGAACCATTTGTGCTGGGTCCAGCATTTGCCGTGGAAAAGATACCAGGACCTGTGTGCCTGAGGATGAAATTCTCATGAAATTTCATCCCGTAGGTAGACTTGCCCCCGGTGCCATTATGGGATGTGAAGTCACCGCTGTGGCACATAAACGCTGTAATAATTCTGTGGAAGCAGAAATTTTTATAACCAAATCCTTTCTCCCCAGTGCTCAGAGCATGAAAGTTTTCTGCCGACTTTGGAACTTTGCAAACAGCTTGAAGGAGATGCGGCCCAAGGGCTCGCTGTCAGCAGTGATGTCAAAGAACAGGTGGTGTTGACCATGGCTGGACATGGAAGATCTGAGGTGGTGGTGGCCGAAGCGGCAAGGGCAAAAAAATGTGTCTTCTATTTTATGGAAAAAACATTATGGACTTTTAGGCCAACCCAGTGCATTTCTGAATGACAGCTTTGTCAGATAAAGTATTCTTAGTTGGCATGTTTTCTCCCTAGAGTATTTTGAATCTTTAGAAATTTGTTTTAAAGATTTTATTTATTTATTTTTAGATAGGAGGAGGGAGAGAGGGAGAGAAATGTCCATGTGTGGTTGCATTTCATGTGCCCCTGCTGGGGACCTGGCCTGTAACCCAGGCATGTACCCTACACTGGGAATTGAAGTGGCGACCCTTTGGTTCGCAGGCTGGCGCTCAATCCACTGAGGCACACCAGGCAGGGCTCTTTCTGCTCTTAAGATTCATTTTGTCTTTGATTTCAGAAAAGTTCGTTATAATATAAAAGATCCTTTTGGATTGAATATGTGTGGTGTCCTATGAGCATCATGTACTTGGATGTCCACATCATCCTACTGATTTGGAAAGTATTTAGCCATTATTTCTTTAAATAAGCTTCCAGATGCTTTCTCCCTCAATTCTCCTTGTGCCACTCCAATATCACAAATATTTTTTCCTTGATGGCATAGCCTAAATTATGTAGTCTTTTTCCAGTCTCTTTTATGCTCTGACTGGGTGATTTACAGTGCCCTGATGCTCGGTCACAGCTCTTTCCCCTGCTTCATTAAGATGCCATTGAAGTTCTATATTGTTTTTCTTTTCATGTTTTGTATACTTCATTCAGAATTCCTTTTTCACTTGTTTTTTAAAAGTTTCTGTCTCTGCACTTTATATGTCCATGTAGTTTTTCTGATTTCCCCGAGCTGCCTCTTTGTGGTGTCTTGGAGTTAGCTGAGCTTCTTGTAAAACTATTATATCAAATTCTTTGTCCTGCATTTTGTTGGCTTCTCTTGCTGGAAACTTACTATGCTGTTTTGGAGATGCAATGTTTTCTTGATTTTTTTGTTAATGTCACCACAGTTGATGGATCAGCAACCACTTCCTGCCTTTACAAGCTTGTTGCAGTGTAGAAAGGTATAGGTTGGTTGCAACCACTGGGTTGGTTGCAAGGTCATTGGACTGCTGGTGTGTGACAGTTTTGGCTCTGTAATTACCATGCAGCTGTGACAGCTGAGGTCAGGGTAGGCAAATATTGTAAGGATTCTCAATGGCCGAGGCTGCAAGGTCAACTCACAGGTATCTGGTCATGTTGAAGCTGGGTGGGGAGTGATGTCAGGAATGCATTCCATTCGTACCAGAAACATGTTCTGTTTTAGCAGTGTTTTGTTGTGATTGCCAGTGCTGGACCCCATCTATACTTTTCCTTCCTCACTGTTGCTACCTTGCTGAGTAGTCCAATTTACTACTTTGTCACATTTACCCTGACTTCTAGCCCATGGAAAACCTCTACCTCCTCGGACTTCATATCTCACACATCTCTCTCATCTGTCCTTCTGCTGGTCTGTACCATTGTCCACAAAAGCCATGAGACTGGTGTGCACCTACATTGGTCTAGAATGGAAGCTACCATGCCGCAATTGCTTTTCCCTGGGTTTGGACATGTGCTTCTACACAGCCTCCCATCACAGACAAAAAAGATCCTACAGGAATCCTTTCTCCAAGGAGCAAATTTTAGAACATTCTTATCTTCTTTGTGTTACACCTTATTCTTGTGTCCTTTCCCTGGTGTGAACTTTACCATTTTGGGTATTTTTGTCTTAGAGGTATACTAATGCTCAAGAGCCACTTCCCGAACCACATTTTAACTCCCCTCATTGAAAACCATCCCATAGATTCATTCCTAGATGTAACAGATACAGTTTTTTGATGACACTGCTCCGTTCCCATAGTCAACATGTACTTCACCAGAGTTTATTTGCATTCAGGTGGCTGCTGTGGACCAGAGGACGTCGAAGCCCCCTTTGAACAGAATGTTTCTGTGGGAGTGTCACCAGCCAGCATCTCCAGGGCAGCTCTGTCTTCCCTGCAGACCCACTTCTGTCAGACTTGTGGTCCAGTCTTGAGAGACATAATCCAGTTGGCTGAGCACCAGGGAACACCACACAGCCACAGAGTGTTCAGGTGTGAGGTATGTATGAAGCAATTTAATTGCAGTGCAAACCTCCGAGCACACCAGAAGCAGCATCTGGGAGAGAAACCCTTGAGAAGCTGTGTGGACGGGGGCTCACTTGTGAAGAGCTATAAATTCCGTGTTTCAGAGAAGCCCTTGACTTGTGATGGAGTTGAGAAGGACTTCCTGTCTCCCTCAGAACATCTACAGCAGCAGACCACGCAGGCCAGGGAGGAGCTCACCAAAATCACCCAGAGTCAGGCAACTATACAAAATGGAAAAACTTGCTCCAACCGTAAAGAATGTGAGAAAGCCTTCAGCCCCAGTCACACACGTTCTTGGGACCAGGACATCCACACTGGAAAACAGTGTCTTTTGTGCCCTGAATGTGGAAAGGCATTCAGGTTTCAGTCCTCATTACTTGTTCACCAGAGAGTTCACACAGGAGAAAGGCCTTATGAGTGTCGTAAATGTGGGAAATGTTTTAGATCTAGCTCTGGTTTTTATTATCATAAGAAAGCTCACACTGGAGAAAGGCCTTATCAGTGCAGTGAATGTGGTAAATCCTTTATCCAAAGACATCACCTTCTTGGACACCAGACAGTTCATACAGGAGAAAGGCCTTATGAGTGCAGTGAGTGTGGAAAATCCTTTATCCAAAAACGTTCCTTTCTTATACATCTGAGAGTTCACACAGGAGAAAGACCTTATGAATGTAATGTATGTGGCAAGACCTTTACCACCAGGAAGAAACTTCTTTATCATGAGGGAGTTCACACAGGAGAAAGGCCTTATGTGTGCAGTGAATGTGGGAAATCTTATACCTCTCATTATGCCCTCCGTGATCATCAGAGAAATCATACAAGTGAAAGACCTTATGAATGTACTGAATGTGGGAAGTCCTTCAGAAAAAATTATCACCTCACTGAACACCAGAGAGTTCACACTGGAGAAAAACCTTATCGATGTACAGAATGTGGGAAGTCTTTTACCTCTGGCTCCGCCCTCCGTTACCATCGGAGTGTTCATACCGGGTTAAGGCCATATGAGTGCAGTGAATGTGGGAAATCTTTTCCTGCAAGCTCATCACTCATTAAACATCGAAGAGTTCACACAGGAGAAAGGCCTTATGTGTGCAGTGAATGTGGGAAATCTTTTGCATCTGGTTTCCACCTGAAAAATCATCAGAGACTTCATACTGGAGAAAAGCCTTATGAATGCAGTGAATGTGGGAAATCCTTTATCCAGAAATGCTACTTTCTTATACACCTGAGAGTTCATACCGGAGAAAGGCCTTATGAGTGCAGTGTATGTAGGATAGCTTTTACCACTAGGAGGAAACTCCATTATCATCAAGGAATTCATAGTGGAGAAAGGCCTCATGAGTGCCGTGACTGTGGGAAATCTTTTACTTCTAGTTATGCCCTCCGTGATCATCAGAGAGTTCATAGACGCAAAAGGCCTTATGAATGTACTGAATGTGGGAAGTCCTTTAGAGCAAATTCTTACCTCGTTCAACACTGGAGAGTTCACACTGGAGAAAAGCCTTATCAGTGTACTGAATGTGGTAAATCTTTTTCTTCTGGGTCGAGCCTCCGTTATCATCAGAGTATTCACACTGGGTTAAGGCCTTATGAGTGTAGTGAATGTGGGAAATCTTTTCCCAAGAGCTCGACACTCCTTCGACATCGAAGAACTCATACAGGTGAAAGGCCTTATGAGTGTACTGAATGTGGGAAATCCTTTCCTAGGGGCTCGGCCCTCATTCGACACCGAAGAACTCACACAGGTGAAAGGCCTTATGAGTGTACTGAATGTGGGAAATCCTTTCCCAGGAGCTCAACACTCATTCAACATCGAAGAACTCACACAGGTGAAAGGCCGTATGTGTGCAATGAATGTGGGAAATCTTTTATCCAGAGACACCACCTTCTGGTACACCAGCGAGTTCACACAAGATAAAGGCCTTACGATTCCAGCGAATGTTGGAAAACCTTTATGGAGAGTTCCCAGTCCCATTACCACTGGGCAGTTCACACTGGAGAAAGGTGTGTGAGTTAAACAGTGTGGAAAATCCTTTAGCCATAAGTTTTACTTTTCTTAACACCCGAGACTTGTTACTGCAAAATGGTTTTGTAAGTGTACGAAATTAGGAAATGTCTTACCTGTATCTGGAGTTAGTTATCTGATAATTCACACAGGATGAAGGCCTTATGGTGTAGCAAAGGTAAAAAATCCTTTACCCATTGCTTCACAGCCTTTTCACCACCAAAGAGTTCAGCCAGGAGAAAGGCCTTATGAGTGCACAGGATGTAGAAAACCCATAAAGAGTTTACTTTATTTTCCTGTGTAGAATTTACGCTAGAGCAAGACCATAGCTGAGATGTGCGAAGGAATGTGCATTTTTCTTGTTTGGTATTCTGACACTGGGAGAAACCGTGAGAAGCCATGTGTCTCAAGTTGATGTCCTGTATCCAGTTGCCCACAGTTGGGAGATTTGCCCTGAGTTTTAGTTACGTGGGAAGCATGTGTATCTATGTTGCACTTTCTAACCTGCCGGGGGTCTTCACCATTTTCTGTTGTGAAAGTCTTTTCACTCTAGCACGTGGCGGGTGCCCACAGTTTGTGCCCATTACCATCCTACTGTGCTGACTTCTGTTGTGTCGTGTGTTGGAGGAAAATAGGAGTTACCTGAGCTCTTTGGAGTCGCACCGGGCAGAAATCCACCCCTTTATTGACTCAGAGAATATCGCATGAGTCTGGTTGGAGGGCCATGTTCTCCCAGGAATTTTTTCAGCTTGCAAGTTGCCAACCTGAACTCGTTGCTGCACGTGGCTTTGGTTTGTTCAGTACTGTTGAATTCCTTACTGTGTCAGTTTTCGTTTATTTTCTGAGTTCTATTTAGTGTGTGGTATGTCTCCCAAACAGATTTGGGCTCCACAAGTATGAAAGGTGAACATTTTCAGGAGGATCCCCAACTTTGTGTTCTTCCTAAGGACAGTATAATGGCAAAATACAGCTCACAGGATTTTACCAAATTTGCGTTCTTTCTAGGAAGGGCTGCAGGGCTTTGAGGTCTTCCTGTGAAGCCTAGAAGCTATGAGTTTTAGGAGACTGAGAAATCACCCTAAAAAATAAAATAAGTGAAAAAGAAAACAAAACAAAAAAAAAGAAACCACCCCATGGAGGGGTCCGATGTGACAGTCTCAAGAGCTTCTCAGAGCAGCACGAATTTTCCCGTTGTTCACAGGGGATAATCTCAGGGGATGTGGAAGGGAATCTGTCTCCTAGGTCCTGCAGTGAACCATGCGTTCTGATGTTTTGATTCCATGGGTGACGGTGTCTGGTTTTAAGACCATCGGGACTAGAGGAAACCATAACTGCTACTGAAGTGACACTGGATTTGTAGGGATTGGAGACTTTAGCCAACACGATGGAATGTGCTTCTGAAAGGGAATTCACAAGTGTTTCCGTAAAGGTGGCTGTGGAGGATCGGTGTTCATGCAGATCTCAGGATCTCCAGGTGTGTGTCTGTCTTTTTCTTTTTTTTTTTATGATGTAATTTATTTATTTTTAGAGAGAGGGGAAGGAGAAGAGAAAGAGAGGGAGAGGAACATCGATGTGTGAGAGATACCTAGGTAGGTTGCCCCTTGCTTGCCCCCAACTGGGACGAGGCGGCAACCCAGGAATGTGCCCTGGCTGGGAATGGCGCTTCTGACTCTTTGATTCTGAGACCAGCGCTCAATCCACTGACCCACACCATCAGGGCGAGGTGTGTTATCTTGTGTAGCTGAAGTCGTTGTCAGAGAAAATGTTTTGTGAATTCCTGTAGTGATGCTCACCCAAGGCTGTGTTGCACAGGCAGGAAAACAAACATACATGTAATAAACTGCGCATATTAAAAGCATAGTATCTGATGTTTTGAAATACATTGGAAACTGACATAGTACTTGATGTTTTGAGGTACATATGAAACTGAAAGCATCATCATAGGTATGGTAATGACTTAAACTGCCTGTGTAGTTTTGCCTCTTGTTCTTTTATAATCTCTCCCAGCACATCACAGCCCTTCTAATAACTTGATTAACTTTCCCTCAATATAGATAAACTTTTATTTTCTATAATTTATATGATACAATCATTAAATGTTTACTTATTTTTTGTTTCCTTTATATTTTGCTATCTTTGGACATACCATAGTTGGTTTATCCATTCATCTTCTGTGGACATTTGTGGTATTTCCCTTTTTTTAATTATGGTAAATGGAGGCTGTACAAACTTATGTATACAGCCCTTTCTATGAATATATGTTTAATTATCTTTTGTCAATAGTTTATTGTGTAGTGTCAGAGTCCCAGGAAGGTGAGTATTAACTTTTGTAAACTAACAAATTGTGATGTGAAACGATGGTACTTGTCTGCATTCTTATCACTTATGGGAGTTCCATTTCTCCACATCATCATTAGTACTTAATTTGTTATTTTTAGTTTAGCTTTGTGAAATAGTTTGTAATGCTCTCCTATCGTTGTTTTAATCGCCTTTTCCTAAACTTTCTTGATGAGTAATTTTTAGTATGTTTTGCTGTTTGTGCGCTTGATAAAATGTCTGCTCATATCTTTTGCCTATTTTACAAACATTGTCCATTTTCCCTTTTTAAATAAAAAGATTTTATTTAATTTTAAAGAGAGAGGAAGGGTGGGAGTAAGAGGAAAGAAACATCAATCAGTTGCCTCTTGCATGCCCCCAAATGGAGAACCTGGTCCACAACCGGGAAATGTGCCCTGACTGGAAATCGAACAGCTGACCTTTTAATTTGCGAGCTGGAGTTCAGTCCACGGAGCCACACCGGCAAGTGCCGTTTTCCTTCTCCTTAACAACTCGGACAGTGGAGCAACAAAGATCTATGTCGGAATTTTACTCAATTTTAAGTACATGAGTGACTTCTGTGCTTAATGGATTGTTTTCAATACCAGTAAACTATATCTTAACTCTTATCAAAAATTTTATGCTGTGCACAGTATAATGGAAAAATAAAGCATACGCTTTTAAGATTAATCTGCATTAACATTCTCCATTTGTATCTTAAGTTGAGACATTCAGTAGTACAATTATGCCTTGCTTTGTAGTGATTGCTCATTTTCCTGGTTTGTCATTGGCGGATCGGAACAAATGGGGAACCAGATGGAGTCAGGATGATCTGGGCATTGAAAGCCTATGGGGAGGGAAAGAGGACCACAGTGATGACACTCTCTCGATGGTCTGAGTTTGAATCTTAGATCTCCAACCACCACTGTCTTGCATACACACTCATTGGTTGCTTACTGTATGTGCCTAAGACCTCGGGTGCCCTGTGCACATGAACCAGAGAAAGAGATGGACTTGCCTGAGGGAGGCTCTGTCTCGCAGAGTCTCCCTAGTCCCCACGGATGAAAAATAAATTGTCCCAGATATGATTTGCCTGTCAGGAGGAGGGGGTGGCGATCCTCTCCAGCGGAGAATGCCCTGAGCCTCTCTCCGAAGTGGCTCTTCTTGAGAAGGAGACGCACGCAGGGGTATAAGGCAGGCATGCGAAGCTTATCAATCTCTTTCAAAAGGCTATAGATAATGATTGGAGAAACACAGAGGCCTGTCTTGAATCAGGGTCTGTGAGACACGCCGACGCCAGATGCTTGTTAAGGTAGACTCTGGGGCTTGGGAAGTATGCCCTTGCTGTGAAGTAAAACACCTGTTTTTTCCCTTATCCGGGCAGTGGGAAGCAGAGCAAGCCTCAGTAATTATATTGCATTCTTCAGGCCAGATCTCCCAGGGGACCCTCGGTGTTAAGGTGGACCCACGCGCCTCCCAGCGTTCCTGGCTTTGCGGTGGAGGCTTATAGGCAGGGCCTAGGTCGCACGGGGCTACAATCCCCGATTCGACACAAAGCGGCCCCCACCACGTCCCCTTTTCTGCATCGATACCACTTGAAGGTGGGGTGTCAAAATACTGACTCTTGGGCCTTGCCCCCACAGTGAGTGGATAGGTTTGGGTTTGGGGCTGAGAAGTCGCGTTTCTAATGAGTCCCTAGGTGCTGGTTTTTGGTGGACTGGTGCAGAGGTGGAACCTGGAGAATGTTCCTAGGGGAGGCCCTGCTGCTTCCTTCCTGCTCCAGGCCAAGGGGCCGCAGGTGTGCGCCTCCTCGTGGACACCCTCAGAGTGTCTGCAGTGAGCCAACCTGGCTAATGACGACGAGGGCTGTCCCACGACCTCCATTGTCAGGGAGACTTGTGAGGAATCCAGACACTGAAGCCGCCTAGGAACCTTCTGCTTTGGCTTGGGAATGTGATTAAACAAGGAGGCCATTAGATGAGGCGGGTCCAGTGCCATGCAGTCTGGCAGCCTGGGCAGCCTGGAAACCTAATTCAGAGTAAATTCTTGTAAATGCCTCAGTGGTAAGAACTGCAAACCCTAGAACTGCTGATCACCGACACCCAAGTAGGCTTTTTCAAATGAGGCAACCCCTTCCCCTCTACCCAATCCAGTCATTTTCTTGCTTTGCTTTCTTCCTGCTGAATGAAACCCTTTCCCCAAGTCTGGGTGGGGGCTGCGTGATTGGAAATGATGTTTCCTCAAATAAAACCTTCAAAGTTTAATGTACCTCAGTTTATCTTCAGACAGAACGGGTCCCCCCTCCTCTTGGTTCCAGAAAGAGAAAATACCCACAGGGCCCATCCGTGTCAATGGTGTTCTTAGAAAGGAGGCCTTCCTGGCCTCTCTGTGCCGTCCTGTTACATCCCATCCCCTGTGGCTGAGGTGGGTGCTCGAGGTGTGGTCTCTGCCTTCAGGTATGTGATGGTGACTGCTGACACAATACAAACAAAATCTCCACGTCCAGAATTTCTGTCTTCATGGGTAGCAGGAAGAGCAACAGATTTTTTATTAAATAGTTATTAAGTCAGAGTTTGATGTGCATCACAGGCAATCCAGTAAGAAATAGCAAAGCAGATAAAATCCAGTACAGGCATGTATTCAAAATAGACTGGACTAGTCCTCAAGTAACAGGACTTGACAACAGCATTTGTCAGGCAGAGCTCATCCTGTTCACTCTAGGCTTCATCCGGAGGGAAGACAACATCTTTTGATAAGAAGATTGTTTTTGACTAGCAGCTAGCTGAGCCCTGAAGTTAGGCTCCTCCCCTCACATGAAATGGAGAGAGGGAGGAGATTTTCCCTTTCTGTTTTGCATTTCAAAAACCTGGCTCTTAGTATGTTTCTGCTTTAAAGAGATGGCTTGTCCTTTTTTTAAAACCATTTCTTTGTATTTGTCTTTTAAGGATTTTATTTCTTTTATTTTTAGAGGGGAAGAGAGGGAGAGAAACATCAATGTGTTGTTGCCTCTCAGGAACCCCCTCCTGGGGACCTGGCCTGCAAACCAGGCATGTGCCCTGACTGGGAATTGAAGGAGTGACCTTTTGGTTCGCAGGATGGTGCTCAATCCATTGAGCCACACCAGACAGGGACAGAGATCATTCTTGGAACAGAAATGCAGAGTCACAAAGCTGTAGGGAAAAGACCAGCAAACAAAATAACCAGTTTGTGGCTCTGCACACAACACAAAGTAGGAAATACTATATTACAGAAGCCTAAGAAAGGGGTCTTAAAAGAACAGCCCATCCCTGTTAACAGTAATCATGACAGTGCCTGCAATTCTCAGCAGCCACCAGGAATCGCCTTGTGGTGTAACCACACAGGGACCTACCCCTGAGCAGGTCTGCCCAGGCACAGCCTGTAGTGTTTGAGTTCTTGCACTTTGTGCAATAAATTAAAATAAAAAATACAACACAGGTCCAGGTGACTATGAGGGTATGTTAAAGCTGAGGACAGTGAAACGGGAGGCCTTGGCATCAAAGAAGCAACAGGGGAGCCTATGCTGGGCTGCGTTAGCTCGCTGGGAAGAGAGAAAAGAGAGAAATGGGCCCTTTGGAGACAGATTCCAGATTCCGGATGGGGGTGTTAGTCCAGGATGACCAGCTGCTGCAAGTCTTGTAGGGAGGGGAATGCATTTATTTGCATCGTGGGTCCTACTAATGCAAGAGAGCAGTAGGGACTAGAGCAAGGTCCTCCAACCACATTCTGCCTGAAGGAGGCACATGCCACATGGCCTGAATCCAAGGCCTAGCAGGCGTAACAGTCACTTCCTTGTCCAAGAAATCATGTCCCGGGGGGGCGGCTACAGGGCGGATTCACTATTCTCAGGGTATTGTCGGGGTGTAAAACCGCAAATTCACTCCTGGAGTCAGATGGCGAAATACAGGATCCCGGCCTTGGAGTTCACAACCTATGTTACCCAGAAGGCAGCCTTCCAATATCGAGGCTGAGGCAACAAAGTCTCAGAAAAGGCATTTCCGTTCGGGCCCTACTGCGGGGCGGGACTTCCGTGCGTCTCCTGGCGGGCAATTCCTCTGCTCCCGGTTCCCGTCTCACGCCTTCGGGGTGCTGGGGTCGAAGAATCGAATGGTGACGGCGCCAGCGCGCTGCTCCCCACAGGAGGTGTGAGGCCAAGTCCGCTGCCGGGAGTCCGGCCTCAGGGTCGCACAGGCGCC